GATTCCAGTGGAAGGCAGCTTATAAATGGTTTTCCCTTACCAGAGGGAATTGTGTTTAATACAAAGGATCCTAGATCTCCTCCCAATAGGAAATGCCCCAATAATCACAGTCAAGTTTTAATTCTAAAATGAAATCCAAATTCCATTGCTTACTTATGTTTGTAGAAAAGCTACTAAAATAAAGATAAAAACAACCTGTGAAAAAACAGAATTCCTGGACAAAGACAATATATTCTTTTGTTTTCCTCCTCTTTTTTCCACTTATCTTTTCTTGTTCAGTCATACCCACACCAAACTGACATATTCTCTACTGCCCATCCCCACCATAGTATTGCAATTAAGCACGATGCAGTGAGCCACCGTGCCTGGCCCCGATAACATTATCCAACGTTACGCACTGTTGCCAGCGCCTGGTTTATAAAATAATGATAAAGAAAATTAAGAAAGAGACCGAAGAATGATGGAGGGAAATGGTTTAGGAAGATGAGGCAAAGAGGAGGCTTACCCCCAAGCACTGATATCGCTGATTGTATTGTATATTTGACTCTGTGAAAAGGGAGGTTTATGTAAGATTTCAAAGCTCTTCAACTATCACCAGAACCAAAAGTTTATTATGCTGGAGAGCTTCTCCAAATTCTGGTCCAAAACTATCCGCCCACTGATATAGCTTTTATATAACAAACAAAGTCTGTGGAGTCTGGAGGCAGGTAAAAACATTTTATCTTATGATGCTGATAAATTGTGTCTGTGTTTCTTATTTGCAGAGGTGTTTGCTTTTTCAAAGAAAAGGAAGAATTATTATTATTCATTCCTATCTTGATTAGCTAAACAGTTTATTTCTGCTGTTGTATTGTCTAAGACAACCAGAATGTTTTAACTTTACAACAGCGAGAAATGTTAAATTTAGACTCCATTGGAGACAATTATCGGGTTTCAAGATGATAAAAACATACTGTATGCTAAGGATGGGAACTGTGTCCTCTCCACTGGCGTTTTTATATCTGTATGTGCTTTCTACAATAAAAAACAAACAAAACAAAAACTGTTAAAGTGTGAAAAATATACAGTACTTAAAAAGTTATATTTTAACCCCCACTGCCTTTGAAATGGTTTGATCCACCTACCTACATTCCCTAACTCCAGCAGAGACTCAGTCTGAAGGTGCATTCACACCGAACGCAAACTCTGGGCAAATTTCGCCCGTTTCATCTGCTTTTGATTGCCTTGATATTCGCCTAATTAAAAAAAAGCATTTCCCACAGCAGGCGGAAGTGGCCTACTTCATAGACCTGCTGATTGTTGGTTTGACCTTATCGTGGCATCATGGAATTAAAAGGCAACTGGTAGTGTTTTTTCTTTAAACTGGAAAAAAGCTGTCAGAGTTCCAAGATTCACTAAATTCCCAGAGACGGAAAGAGTAAGGGGAATACCACCACCTCCTCCAGAGATTAGATCTGGATGATGATCGCTTTATGCGTATCTGTGACCCTCTTCGGGGCTCTGCTCTCCTGCATTGGGATGAATCACCCGAACAATAAAGGGTTAGGTGAGACACCATTCTGGGGCTCAGACTGGAGCTTTGGGAAATCAGTGCCAGAAAATGGCAGAAAAAAAAGATGATCCAGAATGAGGCTGTCAGCTGTGTCAGCCTCTGGAAATATGGAATCACCATGGGAGATCAGCAGAGGCCCCCTCGGGGAATCAGTGCATTAGAGCGGGGAGAGGAGGCAGAGTGGGAAGCCTGCTGGGGGAAACAGCAATGCTGAGAGGCAGGGACTGGCTGGGGCTAGATATATAGGCTAACTGGTCAGATTAGACTACTTGGAAGACAGAACGGGTTAGAGACTACGGCTGACTGGGTGTAGGACAGTGGTACAACTGAGAGGCCAGCTTTGAACCAGAGCAAGGAGAAGTGTGGGAGATGAAAGGAGTACCACGGAGATTCAGCTTTCCAGAGCAGACATCGGCGGAGCTTGGGAAAGAAGACATCTGTCTTTATTACATTTTCCTAATTATCTGTATACTGTTCACCCAGTTTATACACAAAAAAAGAGGCTTTCATGAAAACTGGTTCCAAAACTTTAAATGGTTGGAGTATGTTTCCCAAAAAAAAAAAATGACACTCTCTGCTGCTTTGCATGTCTGGTATTTGGCTAAAGTCTCAGATAGGATGCATTAGTGAATGATGTCAGAAACTGGCAAATGGCACTGAGCAAGATTTAAAAATGTATGTGAAAAACTTTAAAATGTATCTTGACAGTCGGCTGTCTGGGTGCTCAGCACCCCTAAACCTCTGATCCTAGGATAACCCCTGGTCCTCTTCCTTGCTGACGCTGTTGTGCAATAACTAAATCTTTCCTTTATTCTATTACTGAGTCCTGGAGTCTGTCTCTGTAAAGATAAGAACTGCTTATTTTCCAGACCACATACACCACACAGACCACATAGCCTAATGCAGAAGATAAAAGCATAGAAGTGATTCATCCAGTTTGCATCTGGTCAGATGGCGCAGAGGAGCAGCAGCCATCTCTGCTGAACAAACAAACACTGAAAATATGTGCTATGTAATTCATCATTTGGAATACCTGAAATTTGATAATTAGATTTACATGAAACCAAGAAGACATGTTGTCACAAAGAACAAATGATTATGTGCCAACTGTAAATAATAAAGGACAGAAAATTAAGCCGTCCTTTACATTCTGTACTATGCTTCTAAATAAATTTAGTTTCAACTATAGATTATTTAAGATATAATCTTGAAATTAAAACTGCTATATTATGTGATACTTTGGATTATTAATCAATTATTTATATTTTTTATATAAAAGTACATGACAAGCTTTTATATGATGTGAGTCCCTACCAGGGTGCAAATGACTAGCCAAGGGATAACGATGCAGGACGTTAGTCTCTATTTGTCCATTTTTAAACAAGACCTTGATGCAAGGCGTTAAAATATCTGATGTCTTGGTCATGAGTGATGGTAGGATGGACTTGGAGATGGATGAATTAGTGCTTTGTGGGTTGTAATGCTGTTACTGCTCCAATCTGTCAAGGCTAACAAGTAGCCACCCTTAACACGCAAGCCTCCTAATTTACCTGTCTTTGTTCTGACTTTTTACTATGGTCATTAAGATATTGATCCTTAAGTAAAGAAAGACACAAGCAGCTGAATCAAGCTTCCTATGTTGGGCGGCTGAGCTCAGCCTTAGATACAGGGTGAAAAACATCAGTCGTTTGCATGTCTTCCATTGGTTTTGAAAGTGTGTGAGACCCAGGAATGTGGAGGGACATCTTTCAACTCAGTTGGACTAATCTGGGTAAATAAAAGTTATAAATAAGGGGGGGAAAGGCCTTTGGGTATCCCAGATTGAGCCGGAGTGTAGCTGTAAAGAGACCATTAACCAAACTATAGCGCTATGTTTTAGTAATCCTTCTAATCATTTGACACATCACCATTAGTCTAAGCAAAAAACAGCCTTTCTGTAAAAGAATATTACATTTGCTGTCTTGGTACTTTCTTTTTTTTTTCCTGCAGGTGGGATTTGGATCACCCTGACTCACTGCCTGATTTCCACCTGTGCAAACACCTTACATCAAAGCACAGTTAATTCATCTAAAGTTGTTTTTTCTGTGTTTGAATTTGCTCAGATCTATCTCTGTTATTGTTGCAGTGAAAATGCTCCCATCTTATCTTAGGTGACTGTCTCTTATATTGAGCAATATCCTTGATTTGGTATCAGTATACATTGGCAATACTGATATTTTTGTTTCTACCCAGACAGAAGATGCATGTTCATGCCAGCTGAAATCAGGCGCTTCTAGCCCTGGGGCGTTAGTCACAGTTATAAAATGGGTTGTCGACCCGCTCTGCCACATCTCCCCTGTTACCTCCTAGAATAAGCGGCCCAGTCTGCTGTCCCAGATCGTTTAAATCCTGTGCCATTCAGCTCTGGCAAATATTGGCTTAGCATAATGACAATGGGCAGTCGCCGAAGGGAAACCAGGAGAGTTCTAATTTAAAGTGGAATCCTGTTCCGCTTCAGCAGGTGCAATAAAGTTGGAGGATTTCATCTTAGTTGACATTAGTGGAGGAGAGCCAGTATTTAATAGTGCAACACTGAATGCATTTAGGGGGACACATTTAGGTGGTACTCGCTCCAACACCACAGTCGGATAGATTAGAAATGATTTGAAAAATACTTGTCCTTTATTTTTTCTCTGCTACTTTTGTTTAAATTGTTCATTCTCTTTGATTGTACAGTGTATGAATTTTTGAGTATTGAGTATTGACAAAAATACAACCATGAAGTGTGGTATCTATATCTGTGAAGATTCTCAGTCATCCAGGTCATGGTCCAGCTTGAAAAAGTTAAGCTTAGTATATATATATATATATATATATATATATATATATATATATATATATATATATATATATATATATATATATGTATGTATGTATGTATGTATATGTGTATATATATATAGATGTATATATATATATATATATATATATATATATATATATATATATATATATATATATATATATATATATATATGTTTGTATTACTTTGTTATCAGAAACTGAGTTTTATTGTGTCTTATGTGTGTTTATGTGCGTTTTAATGCATGTGCACTATTTTCCTCTTACAAGCTGGGTGGTCGTGATGAATCGTTTGTAATCAAAGTGTTATTCTACATGAAATATTTGCTGGCAGGCAGTGATGACTGATCTGTTTGTTCAAGCACAGATAGAGTTCTCAGTATTGATCCAAGCTCTTCCCTGAATAGGATTTCTGCCACAGAGGGAAATAATGTAATAAAGATCTCATTATGTGTCCAATACTCGGTGAGTTTGGGGAGCTATGAGTCTTTTTTCAGTGATCCTTTTACATGACTCCTATAGAGGCAGTGTTTAAAGTTTATGTAATGTGGGTAAATTCCATTTGCATTATTTCATCATGTCCTTCGATTATTTTCTTGTCTTGCAGAGAGTTGTTTGACATTACAACAGAAAAAGAGGAAATCGAGGACCACTGGGACAAGACGCCTTCAGGTTCGGTTGTTAGATAGTCAGTGTTCTTTGGCTTTGAGAGCAGCGACTCTATCAGGCAGAAGAAACCATGGATTTTGTAATGAAGCAAGCTTTGGGTGGTAAGTACTCTGCAACAGCATCCATGTTCTGCTCCTCTGAACATTTCTAGCCTGAAAATCATTGCTTACGATCAAGAAAACCTCCTGCTGACTCCATTAAAAATTCTGCGTTATGTTGATAACGTTGTAACATTAATGTATTTATCACTCCTGATCATGCAGTAGCTTATTATTGATAGTCTTACTGTTCATATAATTATTTTAAATAAAATGAGGGATGCTGGAGAAACAAAGGATTTGGGAAATTAACTGAGGCTCTGGCTAGAAACACATCTTAACTCTGCCCTGCATTGTTGTTAAAATCCAAATTAACATATGAAAAACCTGACATAAGCTCCAAAACTAATTCAATTTAAATTATTTGTCTAACCCTGGACCAAAGGTGCCCCTCCTTTTTGTTCCTCTGTTTTCATCCTTTTAGAACGGAAAACATTAATGAAGCCACTGACAACAACCAGTCCTCACATGTTAAATGTTTGATTCAATAACCTCTTTGACACATGAACATCATAAAACTTTCCTGACAGTAGCTCTTCCTCTATAGTTCCACAATCTTCCTCTTGCTTCTCCTCCAAACCCTCTGGCCTCCTTGTCTCCTTCAGTTAGACCTATTCACTGAGAACAACATAAAGATGTCAGTGTGAATCTCCTTGTAAGTCAAGGGCCCCCAAGCCCCAGAGGTCATGCCTCTTTAAATCATCCCCCTCATCTAGTTTCATCAGTTCAATGACCACCAAGCCACAATGAAATGAGATTTATTCCTATACAGCTCAGCTTGCCCTTCATCCTCCTCTATCAGCCCAGCTCTCCTTCATTTATCCTCCTCACTGCTCATGTCCTGCTGTCCTTTCTTCTTTACTTCTCCTTTATCCAATCTGTTCATCTGAGCTTTATTCACTTCATCGCGCCACTTAATTTTTTTTTTTTCCTGGATCCTCTTTTATTTTCACTTTAATTCATCTGTTGTTCTCTAACTGCTGATTAAGCTAACTTAGCTGATGTTTAGTTTCAGGATTTTGTTGTCTTTTCTTTACATTGTGACACTTTACATAAAGTCTCGCAGATGTCATTCTTTCTCGAACTAATACCTTTTTTGCACTCTACTTTTCACTAATATCCGTATACAATAATATATCTTTATATTTTTGCTGCACATTATGGCTACAAATCGGGAAAGACAAGAAAATTCACCTTGGATACCTCAATGTTGTTTCAGACTAATTAAATGTATTATAATCGATAGTGTGATCTCAAGAAGGCTGAAAGATGTACCTCAGTTTAAAAAAGCATGAATAAAGCATTAAGTTAACGGTTGACGGTTCAAGCCCCGACTTCGACTTTCAGTGTCGTTGTGTCCTTGGGCAAGACACTTCACCTGCATTGTCTACTGATGGTCAGAGGGCCCGGTGGCGCCAGTGTACGGCAGCCCCGCTTCTGTCAGTGAGCCCCAGGGCAGCTGTGGATACAATGTAGCTTGCCACTATCAGTGTGTGAGTGTGTGCGTGAATGGGTGAATGAATGTAGTGTAAAGCGCTTTGGTCAAGTCTCCTAACTTGAATAAAGGCGCTATATAAGTACATGCCATTTACCATTTAAAGGTGGGCACAACCAATATAACCAGGTTTTTGCACCATTATATATTTCCTTATAGTTTAACTTAACAGGTTTTTGCATGTTTTACATCACATTACATTTGCATGAATGGTGGAAAAAGTTGAGAAAATATATCTGGTCTGTCTTTGGCAGAACCTTTTGATATCAGAAATAGTACAAAATTCTTTTCTTAAACAGGAGTTTGATTAATTTGGTAAGAATAACAATACTGTGTCCAAAGGATCAGAAAGGATAGGAATTCCTGCAGTCTAAATAAAGTATAAATGGGATTTTAAAGTAAATATATTTGATCTCTGAGTGTGATTCAGTGCCTTTAAAGATTAAATAAATGGGCTAACCAAGGGGAGGATGTAATTGGTGTAGCATGTATATATGAGATATATTAACAGGTCATAATTTGTGTTTTCTGTGTTATTTTTCTTATTATTCAAATTAGAAAAGTGTTCATACTGAGTTCATGTAAACTATATTAGTCAACTGCTCTATTTTTACTTAAGTATTAAAAAGAGAAAGACAAAATTGGACACATTTAAACTTTATTTCTTGTCCATTTTTGCTGTGCATAACATGTTTCTACTGTTTATTTTTAGTCCCTGGACCCGAAAAATGTTAAAAGAACAGAGAGGAACGTTAAAAGCAGGAAACAGGTTTCTTAATGCAGAACACAGAAACAAAGTCATATAATCAGTCCCTAACCTTTAAAACGTACACCCTAAGCAGCACGTCCTTCCTACTTCTTAAACATTGCTCCTTCTAATTCTCAGTTCTTTCTGTAAGCTGTGTTCCTGTTTATCTCAAGCTTTTTCTTTCCATTGGTTCTTCCTTTTCTTGTCATTTCTTGTCATCAAACCTCCTCCCTGGTGCTGATCTTCCTTCCTGTCCCTTCATGCAGCAGATCCACACTCTTCCTCCTTCAATTTCTGCATTTTAATTGCCTCTGTTACCCGCCTCCATACAACCTTCCATCCATACCAAGTTAAAAGGTCATAATTTGCCTCCCACTGAGAGTCTGTTAATGGCTGCTGACCCTTCTCTTTGAACTGGGTGGCTACCACTTCCCTGACACGCAGCTGGGTTTATATTAATGTATGTGCTCAATATTAAATAAATTATAGTAGCAAAGCCAGTACTCATTCAATGGGAATTTCAATTTACATTGAATGTAGTTTTGCAGTGACCACGGTTAGTTACGGCTAGTTACGGTTTATATTTTTAAGGAAATTTGAAAGCAAAATCTCTGGTGTCTGTGATGCTGTCAGCCTGTTTTTCTTCTTCTTTCAGGAAACCAGAGCTGTGAGGTTCCCGTCCTTTCTCATAAAGTAGTTGAACAGAGAGATGAGGGAGAGATAATCTCTGTAGGATCAGAATTAGATGGTCCGGACCAGGCAGGGTCCAGCCTTCTGTTTCATTTCCTGTGCAGGAGTGAGAAAGATGAGCAGGCGAGGATACAGAGATAACCTGCAGCTGAAAGCCAGTTTAATCAAAGGCTCCCAAAGACCCCACCAGTATGTGTTGCTCAGCAGCACTTTAGTATGTGTGAGGTTTCTGTGTGAGGATCGGACAGGTGTTAGTGCTACCAAACAAACAGGATCATGCCAGCTGATGAATTATGCGGGGCTTTAGCCTTCTCTCTGACTTATGAGGGTGTAATTTGTAGATGGAGGTGATCTATTATTTAAATTAGCTCAATTTTTCAAACCCTTCCACCCCTGAAGCACGGCCATCCATCTGATGGGCTGAAGGAGGAGTCAGCTGTGCACGCCTCATCTCCCTGATATCAACTTTCTTCTTGCACCCCTTGCTTTCAAACTTTCTTTACTATTATTTATTGTAATACATAATCACTGTTGTTTAACCTGAAAATGTGATTTAGAAGGAAATTATTTATGTTTTTTTTTTTTACATTTTTATTAGTATACATGTTTAACTGTTGCATGCATATAAGCATATAAGCCCTTTGGGTCAATATGCTGTTAAAAGACTTTTTACTATGATTGCAATGAGAAATTCTTCATAAAATGAGTAAGGACCCTGAGCATCCTCTTAATCAGCCTGTCCAACAACAAGAGAGTGTCTGCAGTCAGAGGCCTCTCCTGATCTACGGTATGACAGACAGCTGCAGGAGGTTCTTCCTGTCTATAGGAAGCGTATTGCAGAAACCCCTATAAGACACATTATAGCTGTGGATTTGTATGCAGCTGCTGGTCTTTTTGGTCTGTCTGCACCATTGTTCCACATCTAACCAGTGATACATGATTGGACAGATACTTGATTCGGATCTGGACTTTGACTGGGCCAATCCAACGTATAAAAATACTTTGATCTCTGCTCTCTAATACAGCATAGACTGCATGTTAAAAGTTGCATGCAGAAGGATGACCTCTCTTCAGCTAGAAGGTTAAACTTCAGCTCCATTAAATCATCCATGGCCTCTTCCTGGTTTTCTGACTGATGTGCCCTCTAATTTATTACCTCTTCTGACTTGCTTAGGTCAAGGTGTAGTTTAGTTTTATTAAAGTGAGGAGCATAAGAAAAAAAAAAACTAAAGATGCAAGATGTAGATCAGCAAAGGACAAAGAGAAGGATAAAGGAATATATGATGGATAAAGAGCTTGCGTGAAAGTTAGATAGACCAAGTGGTCAGACCACATCCACTTCAGTTATTACTAATCCTAAATCTGACATGTCAAGTATTTCTGTCTGGATTACCTTTAGCCTGGAGCTTCCATTGAGCACCTTTGCCCTCTATGTGCTACTTTTATAGGTTTCAGTAAAATTCATAATTTTTTAGTAAATCAAATCAAATTTAGATTTTGATGCAAAGGGTTTTTCAATTATTGAAATACACACAGGGATACTTATTTAAGATTCGTTTTTTCTGTGTTCTACCATCTACTAGATATTGGTTGCAGTGTTTTTATCTTTTGAATACTGACATAGCTTCATTTAGATTAAATATTTTTCATATGTCTGTTCTTTAATATGGAAGAAAATTAATGAAGTCATAGAGATTTCCTCCTTGAGCTGATATGTAAGTGTTTGCAAACATACCGTCATATATTTGAGTGTTTTAACACGTTGAGGAACCCCATCAGGCAGTCTGACCTTAACCCGACTCCCCAGTGAGTCCAATGGAACATTTTGCTGCCCGTTCCTCCCACCAACTGTGTGCTAATTTGTAGACCTCAGGTTTGCTGCCACCACACTGCGCTGCAGGGCCATTAGGGCCTCCGCATGGGTCTGCTGCTGAACAACAGGACCTGCCTTCCCTCACCTCACCAACCCCAGAGGGTGCGTTTGAAGCCAGATTTGATGCATGCACAGAAAAGTGTACTCCAAATTGTTCTGCTGCTTCTCCTGTGAGTCCTTATGAGGCCTCGGTTGGAGTATTTGACCACTTCTCATAGATAACCCCTAGTTATGATAAAAAGCACACGAAGAGGTTTGAGAAAGAGGAATAATTACTGCCACTAAGTGCTGTCATTTCGCAGACATTAATTTAATATCTTTAGCAGCAATAACTCTGGACTTTTATTGGACCACTACAACACTTTGGATTTTTTTTTTCTTGAAAATTATTTGCTGTTACTTTTTTGGTCAGTTTTCGATTGAGGAACTGATTTGGACTTAACCTCAGCTGTTATAACGCTGACCTTACGTTTATCCCTGAAATACTGTGGTGTAAAGAGGAGTAACCTGCTCCAATGCCACAAAACAAGCCCAACACATTATCTCTATGCTTGGCAGCTGGTATGGCTGATATGCCCCTGTCATGGTACTGGGGGGTAAAACTATACGTCTCTACCAACGTTGTATTCCTCAGGATCCTTGTGACGTATAATAGAAATTTAACTTTATTGATCTCACAATGGAGGAATTAACAGTTGGTTGCCATTGTGCGGCACCTCGGAGAGCAGTTTAGGGTTAAGGGTCTTGCTCAGGGACCCAGAGTGCCAGCTGTGGGTATTGAACCGGTTACTTGCACATAGCACAAATGCAGTGCTCTAACCACTAAGCCTAGACTCCCCAACACCCCCAGGAATAATGCTGAGCACTGCATGGTCTGAATCACTGACTCCCAAGAACAAAAGCAGCTATCTGAAATATACTGTTTTCCACCTGTGGTGTAAATATTTTTCCTTTAGGTGAGTTTTAAAAGTATATCAGCATTGATGTTACCTTGATCAAAAGATGCTTTACAAATCTGATTCAGCTCTGACCAAGAACATCTCATGTCCTAGAGAGCGGGGCAATATTATCAGGTCATTCAGTTCATGCTTTACGTGTCATCCTCTGGCATCAACCAAAGCATAGAACAATATCAAGTGGAAACTGAACATCCTGCATAAAGTCTTGCAAAAATAAGCAGTGAGTGGTTTGAGCGGCATGTGTCATGATCTAAGGACAGACTCCTGTCTAGTTGATTTTCAATATGAATACTTATTCCATAAGATTGATTTTTTTCTCTGATGCATCTCAACTCTCTTATTGCTTTTCTTTAAATGAACAATCTCAGCTGTGAAACACAGTAAATCTGTTTTCAGGTTCTGGCCTAATAAAGCTGTGAGGAAGATCAATACTCAGATGAAGTTTTCTCTCTGCTGGACAATCCATAATTCATACACTCTAAGGTGGTCCTGTATTTACTATTGATCAGACTGAGGTCACAACAGCATTATTGATATGTTGGAGGGAGAAGCTTTGATGTGTGCAGAGCGTATGTTATCACGGATGAAGATGTTAGCTGCTTTGAAGAACAGATGCAGAGAAAAGCCTTAAAACAAAGGATGGGGTGGTGCCTTTTTCACGGAATTTTAATCCGCTTGATGGTCAGCCTACACTTTTATATTAAAAACATGCTTTATGGATGTGAAAAGGTTCAATATTAAATACACCTGGTGCCAGACACAGAGCTTTGTGTCTAAACACATTAATCGAGAGATGAGAGGAAGGGAAATCTGGTAGAAAACAGTGTACAGACAAAAGGGATGACCACACCCTGGAGATTACTGTCATATAAGAACCATTTTGAAATATGTTTGGGGTGGTCACACAGATTGGTCTGCAGCTGGAGTCAGTGGTTTAAGGCCCACCATGCCAAGACGTCTGCAAAACATGGGTTTCAGCTGTGGCATTCCTTTTGTTAAACAAGAGACAGCATGAGAAGTGTCTGGTCTGAGCTAAAGACAAAAGGACTGGACATTTTAGCTTTGCTGAAATATTAAATCTTATTTTTTTTTTTACAACCATAGACTGCGGGAGGATTTATTTTAGGCAACATTTTAAAGAATGTAAGCCTTTTTATGTTTCACTATTTACCTTTCAATTTATGTATTGCAAACTGCTGCGGTTTGCACAAAAACTGTTCGCATTTCATTACATATCTGCTATATAAAGTGAAGTAGAATGCGGACGCACAGGTAGGAGGGACAGATGGCCGACACCGGACGGAAGGATGTATCTTCCCCAGCCTCCTTTGTTCTCTGAAGCCTTTCCAGCTGGCTCTTCCTCCTCTTTCTTGTTTTCTTGGACATCTTAAGGATCTGCAGTTCATCCACTCACTGCATAACTCTCAGTACATAGACAATGGATTTTAGATATTAAATATGGCACATTTATACTCCTGACTTAAAGTTATACTTTGAAGCATAATCTATAATCTATGCCAAATGCATTTTACAACATTTTCCTGATTGATTGCTTAATCATGTGTGTTTGTCTGATCTGGGTCCAGGGGCCACCAAGGACATGGGTAAGATGCTCGGTGGGGAGGAGGAGAAAGATCCGGATGCAGCTAAGAAGGAAGAGGAGCGACAAGAGGCGCTAAGGCAACAGGAGGAGGAGAGGAAGGCCAAACATGCTCGCATGGAGGCAGAAAGGGAAAAAGTACGGCAGACCATCAGGGACAAGGTAAACATTTACAGATTATTTAAACACATTTAATGATAGATGATCAGATATATATTTAGAATGATGTTAATGGTTATTTTTTTTAGTTATTTGTTGCTGACCGATCAATGATGTTAACTGTGTTTTTTTTTTAAGGACAGTAGAATTGATTGATTGACTTACTGCATCTTTATGCCAGTAGGACAACATTTCAAAGTTCCGCTGTTGGATTTATCACAAGGGCTCAACTAATATGTGAGCAGTGACATTTTATTACAGAAAACACAAAAAAGTTCAAGTTTTGTATGTAGTCCCCTTTAAGTTACACCTCCTTACAAACTTTTAAAGCAGTGTTGGTTTAAGATTTGCTGCTCTTTCACTCATTTCCATTGTATGTGTGAAACTATGACTATGAAAAAAAACATCAAGGACAAATATTGGATCTAATCTAGGACAGCTATTTCTTAAAGGCTTTGTTTGAGCCTTATTTTTCCCCTTTGTTGCTGCGTCCCAATTTCACGGCTAATTTTAAAAGGCTCCAGGCTTCTGCGTATTTTATCAAAAATAACTCAAACAGGAAAATGCTCATTACTGCCGAAAATACTTCAAATACTCTCATCTATTAAAGACCAGTTTCTTACTTTATTATCAGACATGCTAGATGTTTGTACTCTGCAGCTGAATTGGTAAATCCTTGAAAATATACTATTTTTTCTCCATTCAACAGATTTTTCTTCGTATTTATTTATTTTTTTACTTCATATCTTACTAAAGCAATGCTTGCTGTAAGCCAATATTAAAGTTTAAGTTAATTGACCTTGAAATGTGGACCTAGTTGAATTCCCATTTTTGAATTAAAGAATAATAATCATTGGTAATTTGTTAGGTGTCATACATGTATGTCTTTTTTTTTCTATTTATCATTTTCCAGTCTCAGGGTTCTGCCATTTGTTTAGGTTTTTTTTCAGTTTCTCTGTCATTTTATATCTTTGTAGTTGTTTTCTGGCACTGTTTTTTTTTGTGTGTTACTCGCTGTACCAGCCCCCCTAATAATTTCTATCTACACCTGATCCATATCAGTTGATTACCCCAGTCTTTGTTCTGTCTCCCATATATATACTCTCTCTGTGCAGTTGTTCAGTGCTGGTTTCTTGTTGCTTTGACAGTTAGCTCCTCATGTGTCCTACCTGGTGTCTCCTGGTATTTTCATTGTTTTGGATTTGTGCTTCTGTTGCCATCAACTTTACATTAAATCAGCAAAAATCAAAAAAACCTCCACACATCCTGACATCCAAACAATGTTTAAAAGTATCTTGTCATTCTCCACCTAACACAAAGAAAAAATATATTCAATTAGTTTTACTTGCACAGAAAATCAAAATAAACATATACAATACATATTTGAACTTGCAAGCAATGATGGGTCAAAGTCAAAGAAAATAATGTGTGAATAAAAATATCTTTGGTAACCAATTCAGTCATAGATCCTGGGCACCGCCCAATCTCAGACACTCTGGTTTAACAGTCCAGACCAAGAATGTCCCCAAGTACTGCAGTCCCAGAGGTCATGCTGGAAGCCAATCCTGGTCAGGGATCCAGAACAGACAGGAACAGAACGGGTGGCAGGATCCAGACTTCCAGGCATCCACAAGCTCCCAGGCGGGTTCAGAGTCTGACAGGGTCCAAAAGGACAGGATCAGGAGCAGACAGGATCAGGTGCAGACGGGCAGACTCAGTGGCAGAGGGTAGCCGAGACAGGACGTGGAACCAGAACTTGATGCAGGACCTTTAAACTGGTCTCCTCCCTGGAGCCAGGCTTACTTGGATAAAAACTGAACCTCCCCACATATAGAGCTAAAAACCCAGAGGACTCAGCGGGGGAGGAACAGTGAACGATCAGGAGACGAGATAGACACAAAAACCCTCTTTCCAGTGGCCCCCAGGATCCAGGACAAGAACCATGAAATAAAAATAAAAGACAGGCTAACAGAAAGACAAATAATGATCTGGCACTGAATGCTCAGGCTGAACTGAATATAACCAAGAGGAAACAGGTGAGAGGAATAAATTATAATTGAGGCAGGGAGGGAAAACGACAGGTGAAAGGAATTACTAATTAAGGAGAAGCAAACATGCCAAATCATGACAAATATTTGCTGAAATTAGTGGATGTTTCAATTATTTTGCCTAATATTTCCTTTAAAAAGCAACATCAGCACTAATTTCCCCAGTAAAGTTCTCTGTGGTTGTTCGGATTTTTAAAAATCATATTTTATAGATCTTGAATTATCATGACTCTGATCAAAATACATATTTGATCAAATTACTTGCTTTAGCCTGAAAAGTATGATATTTTTTAGGATTCAACTTGAGATTTGCATTTTCTTTGGAAATCATTTTAGACTTAATTTCTTTACTTTGATCTTGGCTCAAGACTGGTGTGAAAAGGCTTAGTTGTGACTTAAAAATATACTCATCTGTTCTGCATTTAAAAAAATTTCTGTTATTTGATATTAAATGAAATACCTTTTGGACTAATGTGCTTACCTGTGAACACTAGGGCTGTGTTTAAAAAGATTGATGGTCCAATTTTAAATCAAGTCTTATATAAACTCCTACAAATATTTTCATATAACCAAGATAAGAAAAAATGCATATCACACTGTCCTTAAATCCACCACTTACTACTATTACTTCATGAAATTGCTGTTTACTGTTAATTAGGGGTGAAACAATTAATCGGAATAATTGTGATTAATCGATTATTAAAATAATCGTCAACTAATTTAGTAATTGATTAATCGTAAACTGGAGTATAAAGACTGTAAAATTTGCCATTTAGCTGCCAAAGTGACCCACTTAGAGCAGTAATTGTAAGAAAACAGTATATATATTAATATTTTGCATTTAAGATTTAAATGCAAAATCTGTTAATATACTCTATCCTTGACTTTTAACTCCCCCATCAATGCCATTATTGCCAAGTCTCTTCCATTTTGTTAAATCGTGAAAACAGAGCTAGTAAGCCTGTAGTACCTTAGATGTTCTTGGTTGCTGTTTTTTAGTTGGTTGTCCACTCTCAGGGTAACTTTGTTTGGCCAACCTTTTCTGGAAAGGTTAACAACTTTTCCATTTTTCTTCTTTTGTAGATAATGGCCCTCACTGATTTTTGCTATAAAGTCTAAATACATTTGCCATTCCCTTTCCAGACTGATAGATGTCAATTGTTTTTTATTTTGCTTATTTTTTTTTCTCCAACACTTTTTCAGAACTTTCAACACATCTTGTCTGGTGAGCTCAAATTTATATCACCAGGTTTGGCAGTGATATGGCTCAGCCATTAATAGTACAGCTGAACCAAAAAAGTGGATAATCAAATTTAACTCAAGATCTGAAAATAAAGGCAAACAATTCTTTACATAGGACCAAGTCGATTTGAAAAGATTTTTTCCTCTTGCAGAGTAAATCACTATCCTAAAACTGCCTTTTGTTTTTGTTCAGCTTGTCTTTGTCTCATATTGACATTTTTTTTTATGTGACACATGTAGAGTGACCAAGCAAAAACAAATAAAATCTATACAAGGGGAAATACATTTTTCACACCAATGTAGTTTAGTTGAATATGCTAAAATCTATATCTGTAAAATTTATCTTGATTTTAAATGCAGCAGGTTTTCCTGCTCTGAATTCAACATAAAGATAATGTTATTTACTGTCCAGTTGTTGTCTTTGATTTGAGCATTTTTTAAACTGAGTGTACAAATTGCTCTCCTTCAATAACCTTCTGTCTTTCTTTTCTTATCACCTGTTTTTTTTTTTTTACCTTTAAGTACGGCTTAAAAAAGAAGGAAGAAAAAGAGGCGGAGGAGAAAGCAGCCATGGAGCAGGCCTGTGAGGGTTCGCTGACACGCCCAAAGAAGGCAATCCCAAGAGGCTGTGGAGACGATGAAGAGGATGAGGAGAGCATCCTTGACACAGTCCTCAAGTATCTGCCTGGACCTCTGCAGGACATGTTCAAGAAGTAAATGAAAAAACAAGGAGAATCAAACGAACCCTGAGTTCAGGGTCCGTTCCGGCCTGGGTCAGGCTGCAGGGCAAATGGGGAAGCAGGGATCTTTGTGTCGGGAACCTTTAGTATAGACTCAGATGGTTTGATTCTAGATGTTTGGGTTGCAGAATTTGTTGGGAGCAAAATAGATCTGGGAGGGGGGGATTCTCAAAGTTTTAGAGGCTACACACTGCCTTTGTAGAGACATTTTATTCTTTTCTACTCCTTAACGCCTGCGTTGATTGGATTTTGGTTTCGCTGCATCATATTTTAAACTGCCAGGGAGTGCATGTTTTTATTTTTATTTTATTTTTTACATTGATTTAGACTGAAGTGTTTGCCACATTCCGATAATGGAGGACAACATTCCGCATTACACCTTTTCAAAGAGCTATGTCACCATGTTTTCGAGCAAACTTCAGTCATTATAGAGAATGTTTCCTACATCTGCAAACCCGAACGTCTTATTTCAATGACATTTACTACATTAGAAAAGTATTTAGGACATGTGCCTTCATATTGTCTCCTAAAGCAGTGGAAGTAGTAAGTGAGGGTTTCATTTTTGAGTTAAGTATTGCTGTTCAAGGACGGTCTTGAAATGATCTATTTTGTTTTACAATAGCACTATTTTTCACACAGAAGCGTTCAGGAAGACCAGGAAAATAGACTGTTTTGTTTTACAAACACATTCCCAACAGCTATTTAGACTGCCACAGAGTTTACAAAACTACTAAATTCTACATCTTAAGCAGCCTGAAAACTAGGGCATTCGACCAGGAGATATTAAGATGTTTAAGCAGATGTTCTGCAACCCTTTTAGTAATTTTGTTTTGGTTTATATATGAAAAGAAATAAAAACAAAGTTATTATGATTTTAGCAGTCTGATCCAGTTAGACAATCAAACAGTCCACCACTGGCTAAAAATAAATTATCTAATTCAAATTGCTAATTCATAGTTTATAATTTTTTCATCCTGACATTTTAATACATATAGAATATAGGTATCAGGTAATCCTCTGGGATAATGTTTCTTATGTTAATGTTAAAAAAAGAAATTATTTCATCGCAATCTGAGTTTTTCTTTTTTTTTTTTTTTACTTGACTGCATCTCCTTGACATTAAGACCAAAGAAATCCTGGTGAGATACCTCTATTTCTTTAGGCACCACCAGTTTGCGTACAGCAACTAACTTTTCTTGGCTTGCTGGTGAAAAATCTGCTGTACTGCATAGAAAATAAAAGTTTAGGCCAAGTTGGAGGAGGACGGGTGTGTGAGCTGTCACTGCCTAAAGAACTATTACTACTTTACATTCCTGAATCTCTTAGTCCATAGAGATATTATAATAATGTATTTGAGTAGATGTAATGTAATCTGCAACAATCTCTATTTAGTAAAAGTAACTGAATATGTGTACATTCATAGGGGAAACAAATCATGTCAGTCATTTCTAAACAAGTTGTGGGGATGTGGAAGTAGAAAATTGCTCCACAATTTAATAATGTCAGAGATCACTAGGACTAATGATGAAGCTGCACACTATAAAACCAGTTTCTTAATTTTCTCATTTTCTAGTTCAGATAGGACTTTTCACTAGAAAAAGCCATATTCTTTAGACTGCAATAACTAAAAATGATTTAAAAAGTATCAGTATAACATTGAAGCTTTCTAATTTTTATTTTCTGTTGTAAAATTAGACATAAGGTATTTCCATACTTTGTAAATCTCCATTACTTCACTACCTTGTATACTAAACATAAACAACAGAAAAAAAGTATATAGAAAAAGAGAATCCATTGTCAGAAGTGTCTCTGTGTTAAATGTGAATTGTAAGTGTGTTTGGTTTATGTATGTGTGTCTTTATACATGTCTGTGATGCGAGACCATGTTGTTGATTCACGTAGTCTTTGTTTAAACTGTAAAGGTGTCTTTGAGCTAAAATGTGCACAGGAAGAAGCTGATGTGGTCTTCAAGTTGTGCCATGTAAAAAGGAAAAAAAAGATTCTCAACACATTCCTTTTATATATTGAGCATGCAAGTGTTTGGTAGAGATAAGAATACACCAAATGTCAGACACAAACACGTGTGTATTCAATCTTGAGTTGCTGTTTCTGTAAAAGTCTCCAGGCAACAGAATCTGCACGGATACAGAAAAATCTGTTTTATCTTGGGCTCGAGGAATCTTTCATGTACTTTGCTGTTTGAGTAAATGAGTAGAGACTTCATGGTTAGTTTTTCTTGGATGGTAGGTCACTCTAAGGATGGGGGAAGAGGGAAACAATTTATGTAGTTTCAGGAAAATACTGCCTGTGTTTCTTATTTTGTTTTTCTTTTGGTAAGAAAATATATTTAAAAAAAAATACATTTCTAGTACTAAACTGGTTGCTTAAGCACCAATTTTCTACATTTACACTGCCACAAGTTTGACTCATGGACCTGATAGACTGCTATCCATGGCTTCAAGCACTGAGCCTAATAAAATAATGGAAACCAACAAGTTCCTATTTAAAAAGCACCATTTTCGGATTTTGGGACCAAAACATTAAATTATTACTAACAATATAAAATAGCATAAGAATAACATGAACTTACTGTCTTCATCTTCCAGCCATTATTGGCCTACAATTATTTATACCGCTCGCAGATTTAAATTTGTTATTATTTATACCTGACCAAGAAGTTTGTTTCAAATAAGAAAAGACAAACAATTCTTTAAAGATAACAGAACAATGTAAAAAGAATACAATTGTATGCAAATGTTTTATATCTATATAAATATAATTAACTAAAAGATGCAGTTGTGAGATTATTTTCACCAAATTATTGCAATTCCAAAAGTCAAATCATGCTTACAACTGCTGACCTGCTGTTTGCATGTTTCCACTGGTGTTTTAATGATTTGTCTTTGAGATTCAAGCCTCCTTGCCATCACCCTGATCTATTGTTCACGCCACAGATTCTCAGAATCAAGTCAGGACTCTGGTTTGGCCTCTCTAAAAATGCTATACAATGTGATTTTAAACTTAAATCTGCTAGGTTTATGAATAATTTTGTGCTTAACTGGATTTGGAGCTGCGGTAACAGCTAAACGTACCATTAGCTAGTAATGTTAGCGCATCTTTTGAAAAAGGAACGATTTTTGTGGTTAAACTTCAGGTTACATTAAACTCAAAGCACTGCAAATCTGCAATATTCTAATATATTCTACTGAAACATTTCGGAAATAGCCACAGCCGTAGTTATCAGCAGTGTGGGGAATGAACCCTGAAAGCTGTCACTCACAAATACTTCTAGAAAGGATTATACACTGATACACAGTGCTAATCTATAAAATAAAACTCACTTTCATATCTTGCATGCCCAACCTTTCTTGCCGCACAAACAGTGTCAGACCCTTTGAGTCATTTAAGTCAGTCCTGCATATTCCCATTAATACAAATGGCACTAACCATAGAAGAAGCAACACAGGGGTAGTCTTTCACAGGCATGGTGTAAGTACAGAGCAATATAACCACAGTGGAAATATTCATTGCAAAGTGTTATATTCACATCAGACAATGCCTAAAAGCAACACTTGTGTGGTCAAACAGTGTAGAATTATATGAAAATACACTTCCTTTAGGTTGGTGTTATGCTACCAGTTGTTGAATGCATGCAGCCTTTTCTCAGCCAGCCACTTTAGGGAATGTCGGGCACTAGATGTTAGCATATTCAAGGGAGCTCTTTGTATCTCCAGACCACAAGCAGCTTTGAAAAAAGATCATAAAATCATAATATTTTGGCTTCTGTCTGAAGATTCCAGGGCTGCTCTGTACTAAGTGTGATGCCCTCAAAAACAGTTAAATTGTGTCAATTATCAAACTCAAATCAATGGAATAACAAAGTGCAAGTAAAGTTACAAACTTTTCTACTTAGTTGCAAGTCTGTAAAACCAGCGTTCAGAAAGGTTTAGCAGTAGATTAACAGGCTTCTAGATGGTTCTGCCATCTGTATTACACAATGGGATAGGGTTAGGGTTTTCTATAGATATTTCGGGTTTGTTGTGTAAATGCAAAATTGTCAGTTTGAAGATTTACACAAGCATTGCTTATTTGTTATGAAATTCAAAAAGAAATCAAGTTTAAACATTTTTTTTGTTTTGGTCATGAAAATAGTTTTTACAAATGATCTAATGCAGACAACTTAGGTAGTTTTACCAATTCTAAAGGACTTAGCTTTAGCACCTTTTAAATGGAAATGTTAAAGTGCACATATGTTGTCATAATTATCCTGGTAAACTGGCTCAAAGACAGAATTGCCAACTCCTAAGCCCTGTAGTTATACAGATGATGAGACCACAATGTTATTTTGAGCCAACCAACATCTAGTAAAGAGACAAAATTAGGATGTGTGAGTAAAAAGTTTTCTTTTGATACATTTTATATAGCGGTAGAGTTTATCTTTGTTTTTATAACCGCAAACACTGTTTTATCCAAATTCTCATGTCTCCTTTGGTAAGACAACCCATTAAGAAAATATTTATATTTTAGCACAGCCAAGTAACTTAAAAATATAAATTGAACAACAGATATATTGACATGAAATTAACATCATATTTTGGTAACAACCCCAGAAGTATACATACAGAATATAGTCCAAAGTAATTCCTCTGTAGAGCGAGAATGGGCAATCATATGTGTTAAATAGATAAACATACTTAAAATTGATTGATACTTAAGCCTTTGTTGGTAGAGAAAGATTTAAGACATTGCCTGGATAAGAAAGAAATTCCCATACAAGCTTTCGTCAAATCTTACATTTCTTGGGGGTCTCTTCGATGTCCCTCCATCTTCTGGACTTTTCAAAAATTTTCTATTGGATTCAGGACTGGACCATGCTGCAACAGGTTTTTTTTTTTTTTTTTTTTTGGGATCAATAGTGTATAGAAAAATCCAGCCTTGTTGTATTTTCAAATTCTTATCAAAGAATGTCCTGGTATATTTCTTCTAACTGTGGAGATATGAAGTCTGACAGAACCGTGTGCAGAAAGAAATTCCCACAGTATAAAGTACTGCTTTTCTGGTGTTTCATAACCTTCCTCCTTCACATGATGTGTGTAACAACAATATTCAAATAGTGAATTTGTAATCCAGTCTGGCGAGAATACTCTGTGCCATGTTTTTACAAATGTTTCCTTGTAAACTTTAAACAAGATTGAGCATATTTCCATTTAACAGTTAACTTGTGTATATTCAGTTTACACAAAGGCCATTGAAAACAATTCCTGATATTGATCTGTCTAAATCTCTCTTCTGAACAGTCATTGGTGCTTTTTATCATTCGTTTCTTTCCCTGTTAGAAGTCTTGCAAGGAATACTTTTGATGAAATGAGGATGTTTCCTTTTACTTCCGTATTTTGGCTGCGTTGGTGCTCACTGGAAGAAATAGATCTTAAGTCACTGTTATCTCTTTTACATTAAGGTAGAGAAAGTCCTCAGAATGTAATTTTCTTTTATTCTTAATACAATATATTTGTCATGAATAACATTTATATGGGCCAATAGTTTGGATTGAATCAGATAATGGATCATTTGCATTGATAGGGGAATATATATTTCATCCCACTTAAGCAGGCTTGTTACTAAAATCGGGTGTAAATACCTTGTCAACAGACACATTACACCTATATTTACTATATATACCAATAAAATGGGCACTGTGGGAGTCTGGGCTTAATTAAACTATCATTAATAATAAAACTCTCCTTTTCTCTCTTTCTCACAAAATTTCTTTTCCCTTTAATTCTTTTTACTGGTAGGCCAGATGGTGATCCCCTGATATTATCACATTCAAACAAGCCCCCTTACAATAGAAAACCTTTAAAAAGCATAAGAACGGAAGCTGGGATTAAAAGAGACTCTGAACTACTGTTTTATCATTGGCCCTTTGTGGAAATAACAGCCATACATTGCCTGTATGTAAACCAGTCTCTTGTTGGGACTCATCTAAAGGCGTCACTGCATGTGAACTGCCTTTGACAAGGGCTATTATCACATCATGTTTATCTAAGGTTAGTGCTGCTTTTCTGTTGCATGTTTACTTGTCCCAAATTCAGCCTGGTATGTAAGATATATGAGAACATTAATATAGCTTTTACAAAAAAATACAGTTTTCTTTTATGGTTAAAACATTTACTTTACATGAAACATTTGTGTTTTAACGTGATAGATGTAGATTAGAGGGACTGAGAGAAAAATGTATTGCTTATGATGGAAAAGGCATCACAGATACATTGATTACCGTCTGACATTCATATAAAAAAAATCCTAAATGTTTATGACATTATTAGCAGGAAAATAGAACCAGAAAGGCTGATACGTCAAAGTGTGTTGCCCCAGAAACAAGTTTAAAAAATCCCAAAATTGTAATCAAGCAACTAAGTTGGAAAATATTTAGCAGAGTGAAACATTACCAGATGAGGTTGGACTTTTATTGTGGATGTTGAAACATTTGTCCCATTTCTATCTATTTCTTCAGCTGAATCCTGCCAGTAGATGATGAACATGCTCAGTTAACACCATATTTACGCTCTGCTAAATGAAGGAGACCTCTTGATGAGCTCTTGGGTGACTTTCTTTGCTAGCATTTGCACTAGGATGTTTTACTCATAGCTTTTGTGGCATCTGCAAACCACCTTTTTACTTTTGCCATATGAACATCATGGTGAAAAACAACACATGAACAGTTTTTTAGAACCTCCCACTGGTGATACGAGCCCAATCTAAAATGAAATTCCTGAATATGATTGTTTTGGACTTACCTTTCTTTGTTTTACTTTGGTTTCTTATTCAGGTTGAACATGGTGCAGAGGTTAAGAATGTACAATAAGAGTATATTATGTTTTTTCTTTTTCTTAAATGCATGTTATGTAATCAATGTGGAGCCCAATCACTGTAAACTGCATCATCAATGTAACTGAATCACTCTTTTGGAAAACTAAATGCAAAGAAATAAAAAAAAAAACAAGGTTTGTAAAAATCTTATATTCTTCTTGAGACTCAAAGTATTTCCTTGAATTTGCTCTGCATTTGTCCAAACGTAATTTTCTGAAATGTTAATTGAAGGGCCTATAGCATACCATTTGCCATGATTGATAATGCATACTACATATGGCTTCTTTGGTATTGTGTGAAGGACTAGAACAGCTTTGCTGGACTTTTACTGTCTCCAATCTTATTAAATAATAGCCTACTGAGATTGTCATCCATCTACCAAGGATCACAGCTACGTGTCTGAAATCGAAGGGGGGCTTCCAGATTGGCTTCCATACACAGCAAAAAGCCTGGCTGTGGAAGAGTCAGTAGTTCAATTTCAAAGGCGGGACTGACAGAGTCAGTAGAAATAGTTTAAATAGTAAATGGCCTGTACTTATATAGCTCTTTCTCAAGTCAGAGGACTTGACTAAAGCACTTTTCACTACATTCAGTCATTCACACACGCACTCAGACACTGATGGTGGCAAGCTACATTGTAGCCACAGTTGCCCTGGGGCTCACTGACAGAATTGAGGCTCCCAAACAGTGGCACCATCATCACACCAATCACATAATTACAGATATAGTGTAAGAACATCTATTTTTATCAAAGAAAAGCTCTTAAAGCAGCCAGTTGTTGAAATTTTAACGGTATAAACAGCTCTTGAGGGAAATACATTTAAACTTTGGTCCATTGTAGCTGCAGTCTCAAGTGTTATTTTTTTTACAGAAAAGTGGTGTTGCATTATAGTCCCACCTCCTGTGCTACGATTTGTCTGATGTTTTAAACCACAGAGTATTGAGCCTTCCCAGACTGACTTAAAGGGGAACGCCGTTTTTTTTTGTTTTTGTTTTTTTTGTTTTTACATTGGGTCCTTGATTTTACGTTATTACATCATGTTCTACTCACCCAAATTAGTTTTGTGTCATTTGGAAGTGTTCTGAAGATATTTGGTTAGGTTATATCCAAGTAACGTCTTCCTATGGGCAATGACTTGAGGTTCACACCCTGAAAAGGTGTTCAGAAGAAAATACTTTCCATGAGCAACCTCATCAGGCGGTTCTTAATTAAAAATTATTCGGTCCAATCTGTTTGATCAAAGCCAAAATTCGGGCAGCTATTCACCATTAACATATTAAAGTGCATTAACACCTGAATTTGAATAATGTGAATTAAGCAAGTAATTTATATGTTATCCCTTTGTATAGGAGTGTTCAGGAGCAAAGTGATGCGAAGGTTGTGTTTCTTAAGGTGGTCACAGGGTACTGGCTTTCTACTTTCAATACAGCACTGTGACTCACTCTGAAAAAATCCAGGACTGCCATGTTGAGTTAATCAGACCAAAGGCAAGTGAATAGAAGCTCCACCTATTAGATGACCCGGTGTCCTGTTTGCATCGTGAACTGGTGCTGAAATGTCAATCGAGCAAGAGCACTAAAATAGAGCAACATTCTAGAATCATTTGCGTTCGATGTGATTGCACCATTAGAGCCTGTCATGGTTCCTCCTGCAGAAAGCATTACAGACCAACTGATATACTCCTGGCCACTGCACTCAACCATTTAAATTAATGTTTCACCAATGTAGATGCTAATAAATGATTTATAGTCTATATTAATAAAATACCCTTTTATAAAACAGAAATGATAAAAGTTCTTGTAAAAAAAAGAAACATTCACAAATAAGAAAACCCGCCTCATGAGTGCTCTTAAAAAATTTATTGCTTTTCTTACATAGTTCTACAAGCTTCTTTGGTGTATTAAAATGATTTGGTGTATTTTTCTGGGATTATAATGACAAGTTTAATGACAAGTATAATCAAATGTTCATTTTAAAATATGCAAACATGCCAAACAGACCGAAGTATACAGCAATTAACATTAAAGTGTTCACAGTACAGTCAAAAAGGAAAAATTTCTATTTAAATTCATAATACTTTTTTTAAAATAAAAGTACAATATAACTGAAAAGGAAACTATTTATTTACATGGAAAACATTTTATAAAGATATTTGCAATATCCCTGTTGCATAAGTATGCACACCTTAAATCATTACTTTAGTACGAGACATTTTACCTTAGCTGTAGCACTGTTGTATACTGTACATGCCTGCCATACCAAGAAAGGAATTTGATTAGCATTATAAAAAGTGTGAGTACATTCCAAGTATGTATTTTTCTGACTGGCTTATTTTAATAAGTTAGAAATAGCCATAGTTTTTTTAGAGATACCAAAAGAGCGAAAAATTATCATTGTACAAAGGCCAATGTGGGCACATCAAACCAATACGTTGTCTTTACCTTCTACATCCAACCAATATCAGCTTTGCTAATGTTGAGTAAAGGGTTTGAGGGCTGGCTGTGGTTTCGGTTGTAACTGACAGGGACACGAACATAGAGAAATATCACAGAGATGATAGTTTAGCAATGGAGTACTTGTATTAGGTGGAGGATTTCTCTCAACTGCCTTCACCAGAAACAGAGGAAATGGGGGTGAAGAGGGGAACCAGCCCAGAGCCATATTGGATTGAACTAGCTATGACTCAATTGAAGTAAAGAATTTAAGCCCTCAAAATATCCCTTACTGTAAAAAGTCCTGTTGGCCAAAAGAAAAACCTTGTTTTCATCGTCAATAACATAAAGTAAATAAACATTATTTGTTGATGGAACTCAAAACTGGTATCAGCTATCTACTGCTACTTCTATGTGGAAAATTGCACGTAGGACAATATATTTTTTCCCCATCCACATGCATTATGCCAAAAACTTTTTTTTTTTCCTGGCTTTTATTATCATTACACTGTCACAAGTACAGAGCAATGAAATTAACTCTCTTCATTTAACCAATCCTGTTGGGGAGCAGTGTGCTGCCACTGTGTGGTGCCAGGGGAGCAGTGTGGGGTTAAGGTTCTTTGGGACCAAGATTGGCAGTGTGTGGGAGTGGGGCTCGAACTCAGAACCTCAGGATTCCAAGCTCTATGCCCTAACCACTACGCCACTACTCCCCCCAAGCTCTTCCTTTTGCTAGCTGTTGCATTGACCAATGATCTCCCGTGACGCCTACATATAGTAATACAACAGTGACCCCACTCTTGGAGATATGCTCGAAAGACAAAAGTGAAACTAAATCCATCCCTATTTTCCGTCTTAAAAGGAATTATATTTTATGTCAAATTATATTTAGTTAATTTAAAAAGTCACAGCCTAATTATAAGAGAGTGGTAAGGTTGGTGGTAACTAACAACAGATGTGCGCTGCATTGATCAGCAGCAGGAGGCCAACATACACACTGAGGAGCATGGCCAACCAGACCAGAACCCAAACCCAGGAAACAGTGATCCTGTGAATGTAGTACTGAAAGTGTGGATGTGGATTAGTGTCTCAGATGAGACTTTGTAAAAGGAAAGGATCCCAGCTGGGAGGTCAACATAGACTGCTACTCTGTGGGAGATGGAGGAGGAAGAGATCGGTGTCATCCTGTCATCATGCCAGACAGAATAACCATCTTCACAGCAGACCAGAGCCCAGGACTGTTTGTTCCATCCAAACAAACAGTCCTTTAATCCTCCACACCTTTCGATTTCTCTGTAGCTCACTGCAATGTAAACTCTTCCACTCCAGTCTACCTCCCAGTAACCTCGACCAGATACACCCTCGGAGCACAGCAGCTGAGGACACCAGTACTCAAACCTTTTGTGGTGGTCATTGTACGGCTGTAACTTTGCCGAATATGTCACCTTCATGTTGTTTTCAGACAATTCTATACCCCTGTTTATAGTGTCTGTGTCAAAGGTCAGGGTACAGGAATCTGAATGAGAAAACAAACACAACATTTAATATTTTTAATGTGTTATTTATCAAAGCATTTTAGTCAAGTAGTCTTATCAGTTACTACAAAAGTGATAGTACTGAGTCATTTAAAGTCTAAATTACTGTCATGACATTATTAGATTAGTTATCCATAATGGATATGTTAACATGCCATTTTTTCTGTTAAATCAAACGGCCATTTAATATAGTTATAGTGAAGATAAGTAATAAAAGCTTATACAAAAAAAGAATCATTAAGTTCTGCATCATGGATACACCGTTTATTTGGTATATAGAACATGTTTTCGTCTGCAATAGAAGAGCTGGTCTTGTATGATGGCATTGTATAGAAAACTCTAAAGCAATTATGTTTCTAATTAGATACAAATATAGAATCTGATTATGCTTGGACCTTTGAAATAAATAACTTCCTGAGCAAATGTTAGAAAAGTTATATTGTCATTTTTAGTATTTTTTATGCTCAATATTAAAGCAATACTTACACTTTTTTAGACCTGGTCTCAACCACTTGTTTCCACCAAACTTAAGTCTAAAAAGGAAAATACAAATCAAAATAAGGCTGTTGTACTGTAGTCTGTCTCCACATACAAACACAGTTATCACATTTGTATTTGCTTCACATTACATTCTGCACCATGAGATTTGCTTCATTATCTGCCTGTAAATGTGTAGGTTGTGTAATGCATTAAACAGAAATAATTATATTTAATCTTATTAAATATGTGTTTTTGTGTGTGTGTAAACATACACACACACACACCCATATATATATATATATATATATATATATATATATATATATATATATATATATATATATATATATATATATATATATATATATATATATATATATATATATATATATATACATACATGCATACATATGGGTGAGGGGTTAATGTTGTTAATTAATGCAAAACGTAAAGTTAATTAATTAATTAATGCCTTTAATGTTATCTGTTTATGTATTTCAATAATGTTAAAAACAAAACAAATCACTTTACTGCAACATCTGAAACTAGCTGAAGCGCTCTGAAATAATAAACCAGAAACCACAGCAAAATTTCTGCAAGATGACTATTCTGACAGAACGATCACTCTTTCCTGTCATGTTTCACTCTCATGAGGAATATTTGACTGTCAGTCAAAAAATCTTGAGTATAATCTGCCAATCA